ACGAAGAAGGCGGGGCTTATTCTTATTACGGAGATGCTAAAATGCAACACCGCTGCTGTAACCCGACCAGGCTGTGTGACTAACGTCAATATACACAGGTCTTCTAACCATAGCAAAGACCGTTTCTTGGAGCTAATCGTGCCGATGACACATATAACGTTTTGTCCCCTATTCTCTCATGCCGATGACACATAGACTGTCCCCTATTCTCTCATGCCGATGACACATAGACTGTCCCCTATTCTCTCATGCCGATGACACATAGACTGTCCCCTATTCTCTCAGCCGATGACACATAGACTGTCCCCTATTCTCTCATGTCGTGTATGAGGTCTATAGGCGCCTAGCTGTTACACAATGTTGGTGCACGCTATTGAGATAGTTAAATGGTCCTCGTGGGTACGGCCGGTATACTAACTAGCTGTTGTCTGAATATAGAAGAATGTTCTGAATAGTCTGAGTATTCTACAAGAACCTGAAGTCATCACTCAAACCCCCATACCAGTACAATCCATACATCATGGCCTCGCGCGATGAGAGCGCGATGTATGAAACATCGTTAAGTGTGTTAATGATAAAACCATATAACTTCCTTTTGTCGTGCACAATCGATCCTTTTGTCACACACGAAATCGACAAGTTATAGACTGCTTGCATTTAGAAAAAAACGCCAGGGGTGCATACAGGGCCAACGCACGCACGCACGCACGCACGTACATGCACGTGCACATAAAGGTATTTACGTGAAGGTCACTACACGTGAAGGTAGGAACGATGCTTACCCTACTCTAGTTGCGTCACAAGTAAACACAAAGCTGACAAAGCAGGAAACGCGTTCTATATTTCTAAACTAATATAGACCGTTTGTTCGCGTAAATAACAAAAAAGAAACGCGAGCTCAAAAGTTCACACGGATGTCATTAAGACGTCATCAAACGTCTCACAGCACGAGTGCCCTTGATGCATGTATAATTTTGTCGTATGTGTGTTACTATATATATAGCGAGCTACACACCTCAACATCCCTCACAACTCACTGCCACGCACTAGCTGTTCCACGACACCGGCGTGCCTCAGACGTCTGAACGAAACAGAAGAGAGAGAGCGAGAGTCACAAGGTAAATTATATTAGGATTATTTGCTGTATGTATACAAACAAAGGCACGCACGCACACACACATGCACACGAACGTACACATGGACGCACGCACACACACAAACATGCACACGAATGTACACATGCACGCACGCGCACGCACGCGCACGCACGCACACGCACACACACACACACGCATAC